AAAAAGAAATTCAAAATATACAAATGTATATAACATACATTGTAAGTAGTGTATGGCATTAAATAGGAAAAAGCAAAACGAAACAAAAACGTATTCGTTTCCAGGGAAGAGGCAACGGCAATGAAACCGATGACTTCTCTATTCACCTTTCACACAAAGACAACTTTTCTGGCAGTTCTCGTTCATGTAATCCGTATGCCCTCTTTTACAGAATCCCTGTGACGCCCAATAAGCGCAAAACCTGTGCTTGTCTGAGTAACGACAACCTGAAATATAATTAGGACTTGATAATTAAAGACTCATCCTAAATCCTCCAATCAGCACCTCCCCTAAAATACGCGCCCATTCCCTCATTCAGTGTCCGGTGTGGTTTTGGGATATCGTTAACTTCTTATTTCCTTTTATGCCCAGAAAAGTATGATTACAGACCAGTCAACAATAAGGCATTCTCCCGTACTAAGATGTGCTGTCTACCGCGAAGTGGTTGTTATTGATTCCGTTAACAGCTACGAAATAACATTTTTATGAAACAAAACAGTCTCACCTGTAGGTGACTTAGTTGTAGGCCTTACACTCGGTGGCTCGTCAGTTGACTTAGTTCTGCAGTAGAGTAACTTAGCTTGCTCGATATCCCTCCGACTCAGTCCCCGAGTATTTCCGAGCCGTGTATCGCCGTTTTTCCGCGCGATAGTGGTTCGGCCGTTCATGCTGAAAGCGCGGGAATCGTAATGCATCACACTGTCGTAATCATACGAGATACCAAGACTGTTAATTCTCCCGTCTGCGTATTTGTGAAAGGCATACCTAAATTCTAAACAAAAAGAACAGATAAAGCTCATTGGCATTAATTCACTTGGAAGGATAGGTAAAGTAGAAAATAATTGCGCCGAAGTCCAGGAACCCTTCCTACCTTGTCTTATTGTGGATCCAAGCTGATTCGAGGCCATTAAAAGGGATATCTCTTAACACTCTCTCGAGTAGCGTTGTATGACAGGAGGGGGGGGGGAGAGGGGGGAAGGAATGACCTACTAGCATCCCAGCCGGGGAGGTGACATTATTCTTTCAACACTCTGCTTCTGCAAAGCCACACATAAGAATTCTTTCGATTTGTCTTCCTTCCTTTCAAATCTTCTCACATGATTAATCCAACTTGACATTCACGTTTGTTTTACTTACGAGGGTAAATATTATTCCAGTAGATGTTTACGTAGCTGTCTCGGTCGGGCCGAGACTGCTCGTGCCAGAATCCGAGAGCATGACCTGGAGCGAGAAGAGGACATAGTTACCACAGAGGTATAATATGTCGAATCTGTTTGCGAACTGAGCTATTAATTGTGGAATAAAAAAAAAATCAAGAGTTCAAGTAGCTTAGAGATCTCTTACCAATTTCGTGGACGACGATATGTAGGTGTTCACATGCGCGTGCTATGGAAATCCGCTGGGCACCTCCTTGCCTTCCAACGTGCGAAAAACAACTGAAATGTAACGTTTTTTTATCATATTATTTCGGTTCAGAAAAAGATTCTCAATTGAAAGGAAACAATTTGTCTTTTATTAGACCGTTCTGCTCACCCTCCACCGGCAAAAAAGCTGATGTAAGACCGCTGATTCGTTCGCTGGACGAAACGCAGGCATGGCACGTGTCGGACCCAGTGATCCATCCCTTGTTTGATTACCCGGTGAGCGTGACCTGGATGCCAGAAGAGAAGATTGAGATTACGAAGCGCGAGGAGTGGGTGAGAGAAACAGGAAGAATAAGTCAACATTTACAAAAAGGTACTTTGCTAAAAAACGAAACAAACAAACAAAAACCGGCCGCTGAAAATTTCACGTTTTACTTACGAACGCTTGATTCAAGTTGGTAGGGGATCTCTGGCTTGTTATTGCTTCCAATCCATCTCCTTGCAATGTTTGAAATGGCAGCTCGTTTACGCCTTGATGGACTGGTTGGGCTTTCACGCGGTGGGAATAAGCCCATGTCACGCAATTCGTCACGTATATCGTCTGTCATTAGGATATCTCCTTGAAAAAGCTCGTATCCGTCTGATATGAGTGACAAGTTAGATCACAGATTATTTTCAAATGAACTTGCTTCTGTTTTCCTCACTTGAATTATGATCTAATTCTCCCAATTTGAACCACAATAAGTGATTAATGACTATTAGAGAGATTCTAACAATTATAATCATAACCATTACAATTTCCCAAAATGTGATTGGTGCATCAGCTACATTATATTTCACTAATCATTTTGTGCAGTTGTAATCGGACAGTGTAATCGGACAGTTTGCTGTAATTTGACACCTGAAACCGGACAATTGAAGCAGCCAATCATACTAAATCCACTCAGCTAAATCCACCAATCACAGAATTGATCACAATAACCATAGCAACAACCACTTACCCTATAAAAAAATCAGGGAAATTTCCAAGTATTTCGCTTTAGACATTGTCCTTACTGGAGATGTTTGTCCTAAATGTATTTGTTGTTTATTTTTTTGGAAATTGTAATGGTTATGATTAATTGGTAACGGGACTTCGTGTCATCCAATTCTGTCTGTAATCATACTCGTCATTAACAAATCGGACTCCCGCTTCGCGGTCGTCCGATTTTGTTGATCACTCGTATGATCACAGACCGAATTGGACACCGCTCGGTCCTATTACCATTATAAATAAATTTGAGAGTCTCTCACTCACCTCTGCTCTTTCCTTGTATGCCGTTCGCTTCCATGATCATTGCGAAAGCTGACTTAGGCGTCTGAGTCTGATTTGCCTGAGTTTGCGTGGAATTGTCTTGAAGAAGAAATATCAAGAAACGTTAATACATATACTTCAAATGTTTTCCCTTCCATTCGTTCCCTTCTCCTGACGTTTCTGATCATTGTTTTCTCTCAGTTCAGTTCACTGAGAATTCGAAGACTCGAGATTGCCGAATAAAAATTCTGTTTGAATCACACAGACAATTCTTGGTTGAAATCTTTTACTGCGAGTCGAAGGAGTCTTAGGAGTGTTATAGATGTCTTAAATATACTGTATGCTTTCATAATGAGCCAGTAAGTTTCAACATTTTCTCGAGTGTGCTGTGTAACAAAAAGAAAATCTGGTTGTGAGCAACAAATTATCATTTTGAATTCCAATGACTATTGAGAACAATCAGATAAATGAGCGTTCAGAGTTTTGAGACGAAACAACTGACCTTGGATTTTTTCGGAGTTTTGCAGAATATGACCCCGAGCATTGATCAGTAGAGTACCAAAGAGCACAAATGTCGCGACGCAAGAGTTAAACATGTTGCTGTTCTTTGGAAAACGTATTCGAAGACGTAGCATTAAGGGTACGCACTTCAAACTAAGGCGCAACAAATACTATTAAAAGAAAAGCATTGTTTATTTTCAAGTCGTCGCGTTGACAATTGATTTCCATTACCCGACCAGGAGTTTTTCCAGATATCAAATCCAACCAGACCAGCCGCCCTCACGTACCACGCAATAATAAACATGAAATAATTGCCTCTCCTTTACGCATTACCGGGCAGACAAAGAAAATACCTCTTCAGCTTGCATACTTCAGACAACGATTCTATTGTATTTAAAAGAGAAAGCGTTTGTGCCTAGGAATTTTACCCTCCTTATCCTTCAAGCGGTCATTTCCGTGCGCTAAGACCGCGTGGTTTAAGGAGAAATAAGCTAATGATCAATTTAATGTAAACGGGAAATCTCGGTTAGGTACTGGATGTCTGATCATAGAAGCATTTTTGGCCTTTTAGAACTTTAACATCTTAACTGGAATGAATCCGAGAGCTCGCAACGTTTCCTATGCGTGGTATGTGCAATAAACATATCCTTTTCCGCTGTCTGACGGACGCCCGGAAGTAATGTTGATCGATCTACCATCAAGTTAGATTTCCATATTTGCAGACAACCCAAGTAAAGGCATCATGAGACACATGCTGAGGAGTATCACTTTCAACCTTCTGAAGTTCATAAATAAAGCCTAATCGCAAACAAGCGCTGTGGAAAATAGTGATAGCTTGATCAGGTCCATTTGCGGACCCATAGTCGCAATTTCATAAGCACGAAATAAATCATTATAAACGGAAAGAAAAACTATTCTCTCACAATTTGTCTGATTGTGCAACGTCGCCTCTCAAGATGATTGCAGCTCTATGACGTCATTATGTCTTTGTCACGCCACTCCCTCGCTTGTTCGTGACCAGGCATCACGTAGGTGGTTTTTAGTTGGGATCACGTTTAAACAGAGCTAGCGTTGATGAGTTTTGTGATTGCTGATGATCTTTGGTGTAGAATAAGTACGATTGAGATTTTTCAGATTTTCATCTCCAATTTAATTTTTTAATCATAAAACATAAACAGTTTCTCCTGCTTCCTGTCAGGACAGAGTGCGTGACATGGAGGAAAGTGTAACTGGATTAGCTTCTTCTTACTAATTGGACTTCACACGTTACCTCGTACCTAAGGACTTCATAAAAAGGATTCCTCAATCCTCGCTAACGACGCATTAAAAGAAATTTTTTTAGCATTTTAATGCTTTCAAAAGTTGAGGGTACGTAAAGTTTCAGGTAACCCACGTCACGAGAGGTCCTAACAGTAACGGTCCAGCTTTATTCCAACGGGGAAGTTTTAATTGTAATCTTATTAGGGATGGGTGCCGTTGATCTTTTGTAAATCTACTTAAATCAGACACAGCCCTGACCCTTCTTTGCGTTGTTAATAGTTTCTTATACGCCACGCATTTTATGAGAGCATAAAAACACATAAATCTGTCCATCTTTTCTAAAGATCGGAAATTGAATAATAATTTGACCTCTCCCGCCTCTGCTGATGACGAAGTTTAATGTTGTTATTACCAAATACGTAACCTGAATTCACATCAGCAGCTGAGGTGTCAGTTGACAACACCCACATTGAAAGATCATGTTTTATTAAAAAAAGATATATAAATAACCGAATCAACTTCGGAGAGTATCTCTCAGCAAGAGCATCCAACAGAGCGTACGAACAATTTTCAGTATAGGAGAAGTGACACAAGACTAACGATGTTTCGTATGATTCTACTGGCAGTTTTTCTGCAAATGAGTGAATGCATTTTAACACCAGATGGACTAATGCAACCTCCAGGTATGAAAATTTTTGAGTCAACTGCAAATTCCAATCGATGGATTTTTGAGTACTCCTAGATCAAAGTCTTATATCCTATATTGGAGCATTTTGAGAGTTTTTGTAAGGTCAGCACAGTCGATTATTTCTATGTAAGGACTGCAAAGAAGTCAAAACTAAACGGCATCTCAATTTTTTAGCCCCAGGTCAACTGCAGGGAAATACCTCGACATCAAAAGAGGAAATTTCGGCCTTTCAAGCTATCGAACAGGCCAACAATGCTGTTGGAAACTTACGAAGTAAGCACTGATTTTTTTAGCTAGTTACTTACCTTCTTTACTCTTACCGTAATCCAATCTTATGAATGACGACATTCTTGTTGTTTCTTCAAAAAATATACTTTGAGCACAAAAGCAATTGAAAAAAAAAAAATATATATATATATATATACGCTCTGTGACTGAGTTCGTAATTTGCAGGTTTACCGTTTATGTGAGCGTGTTCTGCGATTATAAATACGGTTTTCATTTATTAATTGATTTAATTTTTTTATACTTTTTGAGTGACGGACAGGAGCGGGCTTTTCTTGCACGAGGGAGATATCGAACTAACAGGCTGGCAACGGAAAATTCTCAAGAAGCAGAACTCAGGAGGACGACAGAAGCGCGGTGCTATGAGAAGTCTCGCTCGGCGGTGGATGGATTCAAACGGGCGTCCTTTGATTCCCTACTACATCGAGGGCAGTGTGGGTGAGTGTGAACGCATGAACACAATGCAAAACTATGGGTACTCTAAGTAAGCAAATTTTCTTTCCCCAAGCCACGCGTGATCAACCCTGAGGGACGTAGGTAGAGTTTTTAGCCAGGGGGTTAAGAGGGGGGGAGGGTGGAAAGGGGGTTACGACACTAGCCCCTTAATCTGAATGAATTAAACAGATGCTCTCCGTGTATCTTACACCTTGCCCCTTTTCCCTTGTTTACGTCCTTACATTTCTCGTATCGGATGAAAGTACTTTCGCCTTTTTTCGTTTAGAAAAACGGAGAGCAATGTTAAATATATTAAATTCAGAAGAGATAATGGCGCGCGAATCATGGTCGTTTTGGGATGTGTGGAGACCTTACACTTTTCATGAACTTTTACACGCAATCTCGTCTTAACAGTAATGGTTTTAAAACATTAAGGTGTGGATTTGTCTTGTTGCAGCCCATGCTCGCCGTGTTATAGATGCTGCCATCAGACAATGGATGAGTAAAGTTCCTTGCCTGAGGTTCGTTCGAAAAACAACTCATCGTAACTACATCAGCTTCTTTTCTGGAGGAGGGTAAGGAAGAAACTCAATTATCAGGAAGGCCAGGTCGCTTAAACAACGTCAAAAGCACTGTTTGACGTCAATTTTTCCATCTAACATTTGTGTTCTTTCATTTTACAGCTGCTATTCCATGGTGGGACGAGTTGGAGGAGGACAAAAGATTTCTATTGGACGTGGCTGTGATCACATTGGCGTGGTCGTTCATGAAATTGGTGAGTGAATAAGAAAAAAAGCTTAAGAAGTTTGATTTATTTGCTGCGGTAGTCTGGCAAGATTTGAACTTCAGAATCAATAAATCTTATATTTCATCTTCTTTATAAAACTAACATTTGCTACGCATTTTCTTTTAGGACATGCTCTCGGGTTCTGGCACGAGCAATCCCGTCCCGATAGGGATCGTTACATCAACATTCACTGGAATAACATCCCAAGCGGTAAGTGAAATAAACCACTCGAAAGCCATATCAGCTTCATCATTTTCCCTTAAATAACCTAATATATCAAATTAAATATTTATGTAGGTATGTATCATCCCTATTAAAAGCGGATAAAACTTTGTGAAACTTTGGTGAGCCAGAACATGTTTCATCGTTATCCAAACTCAAATTGAAAGATTTGCATTGTTCAAATTATTATTCAATGTGAACCATAGGTTTTTTGATGAACTGAAGCTCCTAATACTTCAACACAATATTTCGAAAAAGAAGTTCAGCATACATCGTCAATTGTATACACATCAACTCATTTTGAGTTCTATATTCCTCGTCCAGGATTCCACTCCCAATTCAGGAAGATGTCGACAAGTGCCATTAACTCACGTGGAGTCTCGTATGATTACGACAGTGTGATGCATTACCACTCTACCGCGTTTGGTAATGGACGTATAACTATCACACGCAAAGATGGCAGCACCAAGCTGGGAAACACTCGAGGATTGAGCGCCAAGGATGTTCAACAAGCGAACCTGATGTACTGTAACGGACAACCAGTAACTGCAAGACCACCCACAGGTATTGCTGCGTTGTTTTTTTGTTTTGTTTTTTTTTTCCTCTGGCTATGTTTTTAACCTGGAAATGTTCCTGATTCCACAAAGCAGCGAAATTTGAGATATCCGGGACCCTTTAGCCATCTGGTGCCCGCGTCATGATAACCAGCTTAATGTTTCCCTCTGGTACAACTTCATTCAAATCATCGGATGTAATGGGTACAAAATTGGGATTTCATTTGGTGTCTTCTTAATTCAGAGCGTTCGCTTTACAATGTGTGAAATCTAGACAAGTTTTGCCACTAAAGATCAGACAAAACAAAAAACAGAAGGGCGAAGTTTCGCAAAATCTCGGCACAGGTTCTAATTCAGAAGGCAAACTTAAAATGAACAGTCCACGATTCAAACTGCCGCATTAATCCTTTAACCCCAACAAGTGATCAACATGTAACTTCTTCCTACGATATCTTTACATTATGCTGCATAAAGGTATTGAGAAAACTCCAATTTATTAGATAATAGTTGTTATCTTGATCTGACACTAAATTCTCATAACTGATTTACAAAGTAATGTGCAGCAGCTGGAAGGGAGAATTAACAGTCAGATCTTGGGAATTAAAAGGTTAAATGACTTTTCCCATCACATTTCAATAAAAAAAATTATAAAGTTATAATGTCTTGATTCCAATGCATTTCCCCAACTTATCACCCCACCAGCCTTTCCAAGAATGTTTTTGGTACTTCCCACTAATGTCATTCTGCAAGTGTCTGGTAAGCTGTTGCATCCTGCGGTCACAGATGTTTATTTCTAATCAAAGTGATTTGCTTTCATCAACAGGCTGTCGATACAAAGATAATAACCGCAACTGTCCATCTTGGAAGGCCAGGGGTTACTGCACACACACATATCAGGAGTATATGAGACGAAACTGCCAAAAGAGTTGCTTCTGCGGAACAAGTGAGTTAATTTTTTCCCTAACCTGTCCAGTTTATCAAATTTCACGAGTTCAGTCCGTATGTTGCTTATCATTTAATAATCATTACAAGTACTTTACCTGGAACAATTTGTAATTTTATGCGTGTCTTTTGTGTCAAATCATATCGACCTTGCTCTAATTTTGACAAATTTTTTTTCATCTTAAGACTTAGTATAGGTAATCACATGAGGCCAAGTACTATTAAGGATTAATTGCACGAGAGTTTTCAAAATTTTCCAAAATTGCCCGAGTCGCGAAGCGACGAGGGCAATTTGGAAAATTTTGAAAACTCAAGTGCAATTAATCCTTAATAGTACGAGGTCTCATGGGATTACTTGTTTATCAATAAAGGGCAAAATTTATACGAAGGAAAATCACGCGCGCAGTCTATTTTTAACAAATTTCAAGATAACGAACGGTTGCTATGCAACGGATTAGCCAATCATTAACAGGTAATCATGCCCTCTCTTGATTACTAAAAAAGCCCTCGATTAAGAAAAAATGCCCTCTCGCTCAACCAATCAGCGCTCAGTAATTTTGCCCTTTATTGATAAAGGATGAAAGCATTCAATTGAATGAATGAGTGATCAATCTATTTATTGAATCAACCTTTGATTGTTTCCACAGACACCAACTGCGCTGACCTTCATCAAAGCTGCCCAAATTGGAGAAGAAGAGGTTTCTGTCGTCGAAACTCACAGTACTACACCTACATGTCAACTAATTGTAAAAAATCCTGTGGCTTATGCTAAGAGCGCTTAGTTTTCAGTGCAAGAGTTGTATTATAAACTAGTATTTTTTTAAAGGAAAAATGTAAAACCGCTCTAAGCATTTTTTTAATCCAATCTTAAGTTTTTAGGTCCATTAATAAAATGTGTATTCTTTAATAAATAGTTTCTTTTCTCTCTTTTCTTTCCAAAGTAATAGTTAATAAATATAGATGAATTTTTGACGCTGCAAGGAAGAAATCAAGCAGCAGCTTGCTGGACATTAAAGTGACGTTCTGTTTACTTGTCTTTAAATATATATATTTAAGCAAGCGCGAGCTGAACCCGAGGCAAGTGGGAGAATAGTGCGAGGATAGTTTGCGGAACTGGATGCACTCAAATGAAAGAGTCATTTTTTTTAACGCGCAACTGATAAATTTCCTTCATTTGTTTTGCGTTTTTCAGGTGAACTTAGGTAAGCGCAAGGCGCGCGTAACAGAATCGCGCGAGCAACGCATATCGATGGACGAGCGCAAGGAGTTGAGTAATTTTTTAGGCGCCAGTCCCTTTCCGTTCTCCAACTATAGAAGCTCTTGAATGTTAAATAAATTCTCCTTGTCGTACCATAGGATATGATTAGAAAACAGTATGAAGAATATTTTTGTTGGGTTGTAAGTGGTCAAGGAGACTTCAGAATAGGTCCTTGGGTTGGAAAGGTTTCAATGTATACAGTTGTTTTGCTGTTTCGACGTTTCGAATCGTTTGCACGTCTGACTTATGTCTGGGTACTCACATGCAGTAAACGTGATTTGTCTGTCAAATTGACAAGTCGGGGAGTACAGTGGGGTTTATATAAACATTTTTTAGACATTTTCGAGGTTTCTCGAGCACCGATATTGTTATTTTTTTAAAGATATTTACTTTAAAGAGGTAAAACGCGCGTTTTGTCAACAAGCGCTGTGTTACAGGAGGTTTACAATATGCGCCACGTGCTACCGGATAATAATGACCAAGTTTGTCTTAGTCATACACAATGGAATGATGACAGAAAAGTGAGATATGACAGGACAGAAAAATATCCAACTGTGTTTTACCTGCGTAATAAAAATTGAAAATAAAATCATTTGTCACGTCTGCCACAACTTTGATGATACAGTGTCTAAGAAGATTAACGCTTGCTACAGTCTAAAGCTGACCGTTGCATATCAGTTAGACATGATATCCTTGTGGGTTTGTGCAGCTTTGCTTGTGGTAGCACAAGTTGAGGAATCGTCTGCAGCTCCCACAGGTAAAATTTCGCTTTTGCACTGCGCAGTTCAAATTCCGTTCTAGTTTTGGGAGTTTGTATTGAACAGTCGATAATTTCTATTGAATTATAGTGAAGAAAATAAAACTAATCATCAGCTGGATTTTTGCTAGTCTCAGATCAGCTACAAGGGAATTCGTCGAAAGCAAATACCTCGACAGCAAGAGGGGAGTTCTCCGCCTCCGCCTTCCAAGCGATCGAACAGGCCAACAATGCAGAGGCAAACTTACGAAGTGAGCACTGATTTTTTTCATTAATTTATCACATTTTCAGATTTGCTTCATCCTTCTGCTTTATCCAGTCTTATGAATGACGGCGTTATTGTTGTGGCTTAAAAAAATTTTGGCGTAATACGACAGTAAAAATCTGTGACCATGTTCATTACTTGTGGGTTTACTGTTCATGCAAGCGCACTGTGCGACTGAGTCGCTTGTCATTTATTCATTAATTGTTTTTATTATAATCAACATTATTCAAGTGTCAGACAGAAGCGGGCTTTTTTTACACGAGGGAGATATCGAACTAACAGAAAGCCAACGAAAAATGATCAAAACCCAGATCTCTAGCGGACGACAGAAGCGCGCTACATTAAGAAGTCTTTCTAAGCGTTGGATGGATTCAAGCGGTCGTCCTTTGATTCCCTACTACATCGAGGGCAGTGTGGGTGAGTGAGTGCTTATAAAACTCTACAGTATCTAGTTTCTCTCAGCAGCAGTTTTTGCCCACGCCTGAATAACCGCAAACCTCACTTCTGCGACGCGGGCAAAGTTTCTGGAGTAGGGCGCAGTGGGGGGGGAGGACACTAGCGCCCGACTAAAATTTTCCCGATATTCTAGGTTATTATTACTGTATTGCATGTGGATCGAACTGACCTTGCGTTCCTCGTATCAGATAAAATAAGTTTGCGCTTTTTTTTATTTTGAAAAACGGAAAGATAAAGGAAGCAATATACATACATATTCAGTGAGAAGGGAGATCTGATGCGCAAATGATGAGTGATTTTTGCTTTAACTTTAACCCGCGATCTCGTCTGTACAGTGATGATTTTGAAGCATTAGGGTGTGGATTTTGACTTGTTGCAGCGCATGCCCGCGGTGTCATAGATCAAGCCATGAGACACTGGATGAGTAAAGTTCCTTGCCTGAGGTTCGTTCGAAGAACAACTCATCGTAACTACGTCAGTTTCTTTTTTGGAGGAGGGTAAGGACGCAGTCATTGTTTTTACGTCTACACTGTAGGCCAGGTTACCAATACATCTGCAGCGGGGCTCTTTGACGTCATCGCGCCGTCTAACATTTGTGTTATTTCACTTAACAGCTGCTATTCCATGGTGGGACGAATTGGAGGAAGACAAAAGATTTCCATTGGGCGGGGCTGTGATCAAATTGGCGTGGTTGTTCATGAAATTGGTGAGTGGTTGAGGAAAAAAATTAATAAAATTTGAAACATTTGCTGCGCAATTCTGACACAAAATTGGCTCGTCAAGATGGAGAACTTTGTTTCCTTCAAGCCCTTTTTCATATTTACTTTTATTCTGATCGGATTTTAGGATTACTTTGGTTTTGGTTTTACGAGACTCGGAAAAAAGCTCTTTAGTGTATCTCGGAACCATTTGTAAGCCCTTCACACCAAGATCTCACTAGTGATTCTCTTTACTGTCTGCCATACAATTCTTATGACGTTAGTGCGGGGAATTTGGTATTTGATCAACTAGAAATTCCCCTGATTGATATTTTTCTTTATCGTAATATCTTGTCTGCTTGATTTATTATTGATATTGTGGGGAGAAATTATACGTTGGTCACTCATGGGTTAACTATGAAAATAGATGATGGAAATCATAGACATTTTTGAGCTCGGTCATCAAGCAGACACTTCTTATCACCAGCGCATAAATTCATTTCTTGCTAGTAGGGATTAGGAACAAGCAGTTACTCAATATTATGTTTATATACGAATAACATTTAATTTAGAGAGTCTCTCTCACCCGAAGAAGCCTCCCAAAAATAATATTTGTTTTAATTACTTTTCAGGACATGCTCTCGGGTTCTGGCACGAGCAATCCCGTCCCGATAGGGATCGTTACGTCAACATTCTCTGGAATAACATCCCAAGCGGTAAATAAATTAAGCCATGTAATCAAGTTGTCATGCCCGTCAATAGCGGGCAGAAACTCTGCCAAACCTGAGTAGCACAGGAATACAAAACAAACTTTGGCGAGAAGAAATGTCTCAAAAGATTGGGATTGTTTGAATTGTTATTCCATATCAAATAAAAACCAGCAAATGGGTATATATTACCTTATCTTGATTCTTGTGTTTGTTCTCCAGGAGTCCGCTCCCAATTCACGAAGATGTCGACAAGTACCATTAACTCGCGCGGAATCTCGTATGATTACGACAGCGTGATGCATTACCACTCTACCGCGTTTGGTAATGGACGTATAACCATCACACGCAAAGATGGAAGCACCAGGCTGGGAAACAATCGAGGACTGAGTTACAAGGACATCCAACAGGCAAAATTGATGTATTGCCCCGGACAACCCACAAGAAGACCTGTTACTGCAAAACCAAGGCCGCCCACGGGTAACCAACACGCCTCTGTTTCCTTTTTCCCCGGCAATTTTTTTTAAGCTTGAAGTTTTTCCTGATTTTCCAATGTCCAGTGAAATCTGACACCTACCGGATCCGATCTGGTGCATGCGTTAAAATCACTAGCTTAGTGTTTCTCGCATCGTCTTAACGCTGTAACTCCCAGAAGTGATAAACATGTAACTTCTCCCTATAATATCTGTACACTATCCAGAAAGTAAGTGATGAGAATACTAAAACTTATTAGGTAGAAGCTGTTATGTTGATCTAATACCAAATTCTCATAACTACTTTACAGGGAAATACGAAGCAGCTAGCGAGGAGAATTAACAATCAAATCTTAGGAGCGAAAGGGTTAAATGGGTACCTCACTGGGACTGCAGTTAGTGTCTGCTTGACACAAAACGTCCGCTTGATATAGGGCTAGCCCTACAAGTTTTGCAAAGAACGATTTTAAATGATGAACAACAACCAAAGTTCAAAAAAATCTCGGCACAGGCTCTATTTCAGAGGAAAAACCTCAAAGGAATAAACAGATCCGCAATTCCTTTCAAAGGAATATTTTGATTTAAGAACAATTTGAACTGTCGCGTTTAGCCAATAGTACCATTATGATCCTGTGCATTTTCCCAACTCACAACCTCACCAGCCCTTTTTACTCACTTCCCACTCACGTCACTCTGCTTGTATCTGTTACGTTGTTGTATACTGCAGTCACAGATGTTTCTAATACTGAGAGATCTGCTTTCATCAACAGGTTGTCGATATAAAGACAATAACCGAAACTGTCCATTTTGGAAATCCAGGGGTTACTGCACGCACACACATCGGACGTACATGAGACGAAACTGCCAAAAAAGTTGCTTCTGCGGAACAAGTTAGTTTCTCTTCACAAACTGTCCAGAATGAGACGTTAATGATCATTAGCAGTAATTTAACTGCACCACATTGTAACTTTGTGTTTGTGTTGTTTAAATAATTGTAGCGACTCTGCTTTTGTTAGAAATTTATTCATTTATGAATTTTCATAAATAATAATGATAATGATAACAATAATAACAATATTCATGATATTTGATAATTAATTCAACGGCTTTTAATGGTCAGGGTCAATTAAATGAGTTATTTTATGCGCTGAAATGGTTAATTGATTTATTTATCTCTTAAATACAAATTTATTTGTTTCTTTTTTGTTTTCTCAGATACCAACTGCCGTGACCTTGAGCGACACTGCCCAGCTTGGAGACAGAGAGGTTACTGTCGGCGAAACTCGCAGTACTACACCTACATGTCAAAAAATTGTAAAAAATCCTGTGGCTCCTGCTAAACCAGCTTAGTCTGCGAAGCTGGAAAAATGTGAAATCACTCTGAGGCAAAGTTTGTTGTAGCCACACGTTTTTCAATGCGTTAATAAATTGTTTATTCTCTATCTGATTTTTTCAATAAATAATACAAGGGTATTAAAGCCGGGAAGCTATTTCAAAAGCTTTCAAGTTATTACTACATACGCATTAGTTTACCGAGCAGAAACTGTCTGCTTCAAGTAAACTCCTTGAGACGTGTGCGTGTCTGACGCACGTATGGTGACAGGTCACCCACGCTAAACGTTACCGTGATTTGTCTGGATCTGGCAAAGTAACAAGCTGGGAAACATGGAAGGTTCAATCAGTGAGAATTCTTCATTCATTTTCTCGGGGTTCCGTTAGTTTTAGATGGTTATCACGAAAAGCTGTTGAATCTGGAAGTTAATTTGAATATAAACCGAAGTCGGTGAAAAAGTGCGTTTCAGCAGACGCTGTCTTGCAGGAGTTTTCCAATATGCGTTACGTGCAACCGGATAATTATGACCACGACGGATTTGATCAGGTCAAAAGGTAAGGCAAAGTGAGATATGAGAGGGCAGAAAAATATCCAGCTGTGTTTTACCCTACGACATCCGAATCATTGAGCAATAAAAGTGTCTACGTAATAGGAATTGATGAGAACGCGTTAGTCACGTCTGCCACAACTTTGATTATATAAGCAGAACAAGAAAGCTTTTCTATTACGCTTGTTGTAGACTGAAGCTGATCCCTGGAGATAAGTTCAACATGACATTGTTGTGGATTTGGGCAGCTTTGCTTGTGGTAGCACAAGTTGAGGAATCATCTGCAGCTCCCACAGGTAAAGTGCGTGTAAAATTTCTCCTCTACACTGCGCACCTCAAACTTTAGCCACGGTTTACGTTTAGCACTTCGGTCGTTTTCCGCGCAAAAAGATTAAACCACAGCCATTTATGCTCTTCCATTTATCTGCCTTCTTGTCATTTTTTTTCCAACTTCCTCGCTCCGTTTGGCTGATTTTCTCAGTAATGTGGAGACATGTTCCACGTGCAAACGATGCAGGAGCAGAAGGCTTTGTTGTGACTTTGTGCTTTTGTTAAGATTCTACAGATGACATCTGTTACACACGCAACACAACGAACGGAAAGTGCTGTGTGTTTCCATTCACTTACAGAGGCGTGGATTACTATGAGTGCACAACGAAAGATTTTGGGAGAGAATGGTGTTCTTTAAATGATGTCTATGAAACTCGCAGGCAATGGGGATTTTGTGGTAAGTTTCGATAAATACTTAAAAATGGGCGAACATTAGCGCGTGTATGTCTATTGTGAGCTACTACGATATCCAATTTCTAAACGTTTACAGACGTCACAGGCCATGGATGTTTCAATCGGTCAGGAAATGTTTGTAACTGGAAAGTAACAACAACTATCTGGGAATCACCAAGAGATATGAGGCAACAATTTTGGATCAGGCGGCATATTAAATCAGAAGTTATGCGCACTTATTGATTAGATTTAACATCTCCGTGAAATACTCCTCTTGCTTTTTTTGTCAATTATCGACTGCTGAGTTGCGAAACTACTACAGCTCGATATACCATTAAAATAATCCCAAGGATCACTTATCAGTGGAACAATCAATCACTTCCACGGTCACGAAAGAAATTTCCCTTTTGATGACAGATACAGTTCAAAGTGCCACATATTGACAATTTCCGTCATTGGCGTTACGCTGTCTGCGTAGATCATGGTTTGTGCCGGCTCTCCGCATAGGGTATACTGTGATGACCTTGAATAACCGCAATAAAAGCCCACGGTTTGTCACGCTTCAGGTGTAAGGTTGGGTAGAGTGCTTGACGAGTTGGTTCGAAATTTACAATAACATCATGAAAAAAAAAAAATTGCAGCAAAATACTCGTTCGGAATATTCATAGATTCCAATTTTTTCTCTACTTAGCCCTCTTACAGACCGAAAAAAATTGGCACACGAACTTGCAAATTTACGTGGTAGATCCGTGGTGTTTGCTCTTCATTTTTGTTTATAATCCCAACCTTTAACTGCGCTATAATTGGTAAACCCCTCGTTGTCTCTCACATTTAGCACTTATCCCTTCAAAGATTTGTTTATATTAACCAAGCTAATTTATGTTTATCCTAGCAAACGAGACAATGAAGCCTGTCTTTGACACCATTCTTGAAGCAACAGGAGAAAATGGCAGGTCCAGAGGTAAATTATTTCACGTTTTTAGCTATACAGTTACCAGATAAGTCGAGAAAAACTGGGTTCATGCTACAGACTGTTAAGTTCAGGTACTCTCGCGAAAAACTCCACAACCGTGCACAATATCGCAATATATAGAATTTTAAACGCCTTTTATGGTTGATATTCCTGCCCTTACTCTGATCTTTTTTCTTGTTTAGATGGAAAAGATGCTTTGTTTCAAGGTGACATAATCATGACCCGAGAAATACGTGACAGCCTCAACAGCCGCGGGATCCTGGTGCCTCCCAAGAGGATGGCAAAACCTCAGAGCAGACGAAAGAGGGCGATCATGAGGGTGTCTGGAGGCAGCGACCTTCGATGGCTTGTTGGTAGTAGTGGAAAGCGAGAAGTCCCCTATTATATTACAAGCTCGAACCGTGAGTATACGTCTAACTAATTTTATAATAGGTCTTTGAGTATCTCTCTTAATATTTTGCTTTTGAATATCATGAAATTGTTTCTATCGTTTCAGTGTTAGGCTTCATCGTAGATTTTAAAAGAATAATTCGATTTTTACTCCTTCAGATAATGTGCGTGGAGTTATCCTGCGTGCTATGAAGCACTGGGAGGAAAGAGTGCCTTGCCTAAAATTCGTACAGAGGAGCAGGGAGAGTCGTTACCTTAGTTTCTTCTCCGGTGGAGGGTGAGGAGCAGATGCTTATATCGTCAAAGACTAACTTAACGACGGAGGAATTAATTAAGTGGCAACATTATAGACTTAATACCTGCTTGCTTGCCTAATGGACTTACTGAAAGACTGACTGAATGCCTCACTGGCTCAATGGCTGACTGACAGACCAACCGAGTGGCTGACTCGCTGACTAACTGACTCACTTGCTCACTGACTCACGAGGTAACGGACCGACTGACTGACCGACTGACCAACTAACCGACTGACTGACTGATTGATTGACCAACTCACTGACTGACTAACTCAATGAGTGACTCACTCACTCACTGGCTCACTGACCTACGGAGACACAAACCAATTGACTGACCGACCCGCTGACTGACCAACTAACCGACTGACTGACTGACCAACTGACTGACTAACTCAATGAGTGACTCACTCACTCACTGGCTCACTAACTTACAGGGTAACTGACCGATTGACTGACTGACTGACTGACCAACGAACCGACTGACTGACTGACTAACTCAATGAGTGACTCACTGGCTCACTGACTGACTTACGCACTGAATGACGTAGTCACTAACTAACTTACTCACTGAGTTTATTACGGACACACATGCCATTACTTCTTTGCAGTGGATTACATGAATAATTTCTCTGAACTATTAACCCATCACAAATAATAAACACACGTTAACTGTTACTTTATTTTGATCTTTCAAGATGTTATTCTATGGTAGGCCGACAGCCTGGCTCGGGGCCTCAGAAAATCTCCATTGGAAATGGTTGTGGTTATCTGGGTGTAGTAGTGCACGAGATAGGTATGGCAAATCTTTGTAACAGTATCTGTTTCTTCTATAGTTGGAGCTTACGTGAGGTCAGCTTAGAGGATAGAGCGCAGTCGAGTCTAATTTATTGTTTACTAATTGTTTGTTTCATAACAACTTCCAATGATTTTTTTTTTTTTCTTTGTATCCCGCAGGACATGCCCTCGGATTCTGGCACGAACAATCCCGTCCTGACAGAGACTCTTATGTGACAATTAACTGGCAAAACATCCAAACGGGTATACTTTAAAATTTTTATTGATGACAACGCACCTACTATGATGGCTGAAGTTTAAAGTTATATCTTAAGATATGGGTAAGATTTTTGCGTGGTTAAAATATTCAATTTTTTTTCCCGCTAAGGTATGGCGTACAACTTTCATAAATATGGAACCAATCGGGTAGACAGTCGGGGTGTCTCGTATGATTACGACAGTGTTATGCACTATTCCTCCACGGCCTTCGCTAACCGCAGGGGAGTAAGAACTATCGTCGGCAAGAACGGCCGCACTAACCTTGGTCAGCGGTATGGGTTGAGTAGGTTAGACGTTGAGCAAGCCAAGATGTTGTACTGTGGTCAGCGACCCAAGCCACAAACACCTCCGCCACCAGGTAAGTTTACCAAACAGACAGCTATGCTTTTAATATTATTAGTCAGCCAGCTAATGTGTTATCAAGTCTTTACCGATTGGGTCTAGAGTTTTTTTCGTTAAGACAATCAATCTGTCTGTCCGTCTGTCCGTCTGTCCGTCAGTTATCTGTCTGTCTTTCTGTCTGTCTGTGTCATTGAACCAGTATATTTTAGTCTGTCAGTGGGTTATTCGCTGAGTCAAGACATGGATCAACGATAAAAAATTCAACTTAATGTTATGTGATAAATCAGTAACTCATTTTCGTTAACCGCGCACATAAAAAGCTGAGGAGTTGAGCTTTTTCCCTTATTAAGTTGAAAATTGGCTGAAAGAATCCCTAACCCAGGATTTACAGTCTGAACTTTTCTAACCAATCATTGATTGTCGCCATCTTTCCATAAATAAAAAATTTCCGGCTGAACAACATGTTCAGCAATGAGACCGATAAACGTACCGATGGTGACTTGAAAATATCAATAGTATATTTTACCTCCCTTGCTCTCAAGGTGACCAAATAAGAATTTCTCCTTACAGAATCAAAACGTTTGCAGGTACCAAGGTGATGAAATTAGGTACAATATCACTTACGGAGGTTTTCCGAATCAACACTAAATTCATAGAGCTAATATTTAAAAAATGCATGGTAGACAGGGCGGGGAATCGAAATTTAGATATTGTCGTTATTTTTATTTTGAATTCAACGATTTCTTTTTCAAGTTTTTTATCTTCTATTTTGGGACAGGTTGTTCTCCTGATCGTCACGATTGGTGCCCATATTGGGCCAGTGAAGGATACTGCACTGATCCACGATATTCCACATACATGAATACAGACTGTCAGACGAGCTGCAAGAGGGGGTGCCAAAAACCTCGTGAGTAGAAATCAGTACAGTGCTCAGGGGCGGATACAGGGTGTTTTGATGCGGGCAGGGGAGAGGGTCAAATCTTTTATTCGGAAAACACAGGTTGCTGTTGTTTTTTTTTTTTGCATTCTAGTCTAAATGAGCTACGAAATATTTCTGAGTAGTAACTTGCGATCCTGTCGTTGCAAGAATTGTGATGTCAGACAATTAATTAAAATTTTGCAGGTCTTATAATGGGGCCTGGGCTCCATCGACCCTCCTCTTGGATCCAATCAACTAGACCTTTTAGCTAGTCTCGTGTCCAGGCCTTCCATGGCCAAGTAGTCCTACATTCCAGTTGCAGCTACACGGTAGGATCCCCCCCACACCCACTCATGCCTCCCTGCCGAGATAAACATAATCTGGCAGTAACTGATGATTGGTCACGAATCTGCGTTGCACTCTTTGTGTTTAAGGCTACATCTTTATGAATTTGCAGTAAGACATTGTGTTTCCTTTCCCGTTTACTCAGCCATCTGCAAAGACGAACACAAATATTGCGCAAGTTGGATGAAAGAACCTGGAGATTATTGCAAGAAGTACGAATCATACATGAAAATTTACTGCAAGAAGAGCTGTGGAAAATGTTAATTGATACAAATTTTATTCCCATTTCTCATAATCGATCGATGATTAAAATTAATGATTGAGTGGCATTTCGAAATAAAACCTTGGTGTTAAAAAAAAAATTATTTTAAAAAGAATAAGAGTTATGGACGTTTTTGATCATAGTTAATGATTTCACTTCAATTTCCTACGAGCATCATCTTGGAATTTGCAAGTCGATATTTTTCCACGAATAAAATCATCTTGTTTTAGCAGTGTTGATTGATAATAGTGTTTTTTTGGTGGCTTTTTTTTTTATTTTCACAAAATGCGTAATTCCAAGACAGGGTATTTCGTGGTTAATATATTATGATATTATGAGTTAAATTTGTCATTAAGAAAAATAAACGCTGATTTGCAATTCACCTTTTGGGCTTTAGACTTCACGTGTAGTATCACGTGACTTTTGATGTAAACAAACCCTGAAAGTTCGGACATTGAGTCGAGCTCGCAGCACATGTGTCCGAACTTCGGCTTTGGAAATTTTTCTTAAATAACTTCCCACTTTCAAGAAGCGTCTCTTCGCTCTAAATTGATATCGTTCTTTCGTCATTTATCTGATCATTTTTAAGCAAGTTGTCATTTCGCTGCCGTTGAAGCAGATATGAAGAATGTTACAGGAAGCGTTGCGGCATGGAATAATCGAACTAGTTCTGCGTACAGTGATGTATCTGATCAGGTATTTTCAGGGTGTTTAGTGCGTAGATTGTCAGATAAATCCCCGTCCGACAGGAAATTAGTGCCCACGAATCGCTGTAGAACGTGAGGAGGCCTTGATTCCCAAAAATAAAACCGATTTCAACTCTATGAACGTGTACGATTGCAGTTGTTTAGTAAGTGTATACCTAAACATAATGGTTACGACAAAGAGATGAGCTTATGGCACCTGAAAAAAGATTCACGATACTTCAACTCCTGGGTAAGAAACGCTAACGGCGACCTAGTCAAGCTTTTCTATTTTCCGGGGGCAGTTAGACAAAAGGAGAGAAGGCAAAGGTGGATAAGGTTATGTCATCGAGGTGACTCGTTTGTGTGCACGAAGGACAGCTACGTTTGTAGTCTACATTTCGTCGGTGGAAATGGTCCAACAGAAGAGGATCATAATCCCATATCTGCTGTAGCTAGTAAAGAAAGGGTAAGTTAATTCAGTCATTCTTTTATATCACCATGCCTAGGTGTCGCGACTTGTAAACGAAAGGCATCTTGCGAACGAGAAGCAGACAAAGAGAGGTGCATGAAAGTTTGCCTTGAACGATCAGTGGCAAAAACCCTTCTGACACTTGATCGTCAAACTGGTAAATCGACAGAGGAATACGCAGCAGTTTAAGCCCTTTTAGATCTGAGCGTAGAGCCAGTGATGAGTTCAGGAGAGCAAATCAAATAATTAAAAATGTCGAATAATTCAAACGGCGGCGACGCGTGAAAAGTGTTAATAGTCTTTAGGGTATACGCATATCATGAATTATTAATTCGCCTAAAGCAGGGACGTCACCTTTTCGAAATTTGGATCCACTGGCAGAACCATTTTTTTGACTGCGGAGGTGATTTCCACTAACGAGGTTTTTCAAGGATCCGCTCGCTGAAATCCCCCGTTCTTGTAGATATTTTTTAAGCTCTGCCACACTCATTGCGTTGAAATCAGCTTTACTTTTGTGATCTGCCATTCTTAAGTTTAACTCTTCTTGAAGGTTGTTCTGAGTTTCGCAGAATTTCCCATTTGTGTTACTTAAGTTTGAAAAAATCGGTACGTTAATCAGCTAAGGAAATCCACACCCAGATACGTAATTACGTGCAGGAATTAAGGCTTCCTCACGTTCTACAGCGATTCGTGGGCACTAATTTCCTGTCGGACGGGGATTTATCTGACAATCTACGCACTAAACACCCTGAAAATACCTGATCAGATACATCACTGTTCAATTATTCCATGCCGCAACGCTTCCTGTAACATTCTTCGCATCTGCTTCAACGACAGCGAAAAGACAACTTGCTTAATAAACGATCAAATAAATAACAAAAGAAAGATGTCAATTTTGAGCGAAGAGACGCTTCTTGAAAGTGGGAAGTTATTTAAGAAAAATTTCCAAAGCCGAAGTTCGGACACATGTGCTGCGAGCTCGACTCAATGTCCGAACTTTCGGGGTTTGTTGAAATGAAATCTAAAGCCCAAAAGGTGATCGAGGAAAAATCGCTGACGCCAATTTTTGGTCAAAGTTAATCAGCGTAAAGAAACTCTTGATGTCTTCATTGAATTTGGCGTGAAAATTTGACGTTTCGATCGAATTGAGAGCCAAATACGAAGGCTCTAAAGAACCAAACATCCTACGTTGCTGAGACTGAAAAACGACCCCAGCACGCTCCTATCGAGTTTTATGTTACATGAAACACCTTGTTTAAAAATAAGCAGGTCTAAGATAGGAAACTTTACCTTGATACACGTGGACATGAACGAAGCAGCTTGAAATTTCTGCTTCGTAGGAAAAAAAATACCTCACCTGAAAAAAAGATAATGCTACACTGTTTTAAAGTATTGCACGGCTTCACTTACTGTCTCCGTTCTTCCGGACTCTATAAATTCAAAATGATGAAACAAAGCAAAAATAGGTATTTTGCAAAAGGCAAAATAGCAAGCAATTACTCTTTAAAACCTAGCACTTGTTGGAAATTGGCCGGAGAAAAGCGTTTCTGCAGAATCATGATGAAGAATGAAAAAACACTTCCTTCATCTCTTACACGGAAAACAAGGATAACACGCTGCGATACAGCTTCGCGTGTGACTGGGTTTTAAGTCACACGAGGCAGAAGAATACATCAGTGACAAATAAACATTTAATACCACAGAGATCGCCAGAAACCACAACTGACACACAAGGTGTGAGTAAGTTCTATTGATTTTACCCGTAAAATGTTCATATTTTGAAATATCTATAGTTGTAAATCTTCGATATTTGGTTCCCTTATACTATTCCTTATAAAGTGTTCAAATTCTCCACGGTTCCTCTCGTAAGTTAACACTGTGTCACACAACGCGTGACGCTTTAATGGATTAATCGTTTGCTTTTTCTCGAGACGTGAGCTTGGGGTGCCTGTGTATTGACAAATCAGCTGAAAGGAAAGTTAAGACTTTAAGGAAGAACTTTTGTTTTAAGCTGATAATCGATTGCTTTTTCTCGAGACGTGAGCTTGGGGTGCCTGTGTATAGACAAATCAGCTGAAAGGAAAGTTAAGACTCTAAGGAAGAACTTTTGTTTTAAGCTGATTCTTGCTGCTAATTGGTTAGCCTGACAAAGAATCAAGCATGACACGGGCCATACCGTTTAGTTCTTTATTTAGGTTATGCATCCGCTAGAACTGATACGTGTGATTATTCATCGAAATTTTTTTGTTTGTGTTGACAACAAGAGATGGTTGGAAACCATTCTTTATAAGTACACTTCTCAGGTCATAAAAGGAGCAGTCTTGTCTCGGACGACTTTGTTCGAAGTCACTTGTAGTCTACAGAGGTGTGACCGTCAGTTCAGGTGAGGATACTTCATTTCAACTTCAGTTCTTCCAGCATTCACGTAGTCTCAACTCATAAAAAAGAACGACAGCTAGAAAGAGCGACAATTGAATCTGCTAGTTGTCTGGGGGACTTCGCAGTTTGGACTGAATCAAAGAGTCCGAGCCACTGTAACTAGGCTCGTAATCTTTCAAAAGCTAGCCGCGCTACGTCAAACAATTCAAAGGTGCACTGTAATTGAGAACTATTTTGATGTGGTTAACTATCAAATAAAAATTCGCATAGGTCTAAATTATTATTCTTAGCCGCTAGCAAAATTTTCGCTAACTTCCTTTGCTTTACTGAAGCAGAGTTATCCACTGCTCGATGGCTAACCGCTCTGTGTCAAGCAGTTTTCAAGCAGTGCTTAGAAATTAACGGCTGTTGTAGGGCAATTGTTAATTTGCAAACCTTCACTTTCGGTTGAAGCAATTGTGAATCTTCTAAAAGTGTCGCTATTTTTTTCCGCGGGGTTACGAAATCGTTGTCATCCACATATCAGTAACAAGCCGCACTGAGTTACACAAGAGTACATCAGAAATGAGGTTTGTTTTCATTTCAACTGAAAATGGAAGCTCGAATGTTAGCATAAATTGATGGTAAACTAATTTGCTGATTAATAGAATTGTTTATTTTCTTTTTGTAGATGAAATTCTTGATCTCCCTTACGGTCCTATGGACCTTATCGATGTGGAAAACTGCTCATGCGTGTCGTAACTGCAACGAAGAAACAGTAAGTATCGTATGCCACATACACTAATGATAACACCATAGCCGGCACAAAATATAAAAATCGTTATTTCTCTATTTACTCATAATTAGAAAAGATGAAAATATGCAACCTGTTCCCGGCTCCTACTCTGCAAATTGCTTTTTGTTCCCGGCATTCTTTAACGAGCGCAACATGGAATCCTGGAGCGATTTTTGATTTGGGAAAAACATGTCTTTCTGCCTGTTTGGAGTCCTTGGAATATTTTATTATCTAATCAAGTATAAGTTGAATCATACCAGTTTAAGAGCTATATTTAAAAGAGTGATTATACCATGACTGATCATGTGCCGAAATTATATTTTCAGTTTCCCAGGAGCTGCAACAGTCTATTGCCCAACACGCCAAGCGGGGTTTACAAAATCCAACCCTTGCCTAACATTGACCCCATTTTAGTGTACTGCGAGATGTCAACTGGAGTTATTGGCAAACACAATCGATACTTCAACTTTCTTCCGCGTAGCATCACTCGACGACCTGATGCCCAGCAAATCATCAACACCCTCTTTACCGACAGGAAGAATGTCCTGATCAAGTTGCAGAAAAAGGTCGACCGCAGCGAAGCCTACACTTTGATCGAGCCTCATCCCAATTTTGCCCACGTTCAATTCGCATTACTGGTCAACAGTCACTATGGTTTCACGAGTCCACAGAATTCTTTCATGAGAGACTATCTCTTCTTCGGGGTTCTTCCTGCATCGATTGCTCGGCAGAAAAACCTCCAAGGCTTCAAATCCAACGGGCACCGCGTCGAGTTCAGAAACTGCGACGCAAATCCAAACAGCTTGTTCGCTTTCATGCCAAACCATGATCTGCAGACACCAAGTAGCTACCATTCAAATCTGGTTTACGAAAGGACAGGCGTTGCCGTGGACTGGCGTAAAACCGCTAAGGCAATCACGAGTCCAGCTCGCATGATGCCAAATGATTACTTCTTCTTGACAGAGCTACACTTTGGGGGCTGTGGCTGTTACACATCCAGTGACCGCTGGAGTAAATTTGGCTTTCATGCGTCTGCGATTGGAATTCGCTAAAACTGTTTCATGTGTCACAGTTATAGTTGCAGGAATAACACCGATCGCTATTTTGCTGCTTAGTTTATGTTAACCGTAGCTATGCCACTTTGTAACTGTTTCATCATAGCAATCTTGAGCGAATAAAAGTTTTTGCTCGTTATACCTCTGTTATTTTTAGTTTGGTTTTATTTTGACTTACTTTCATTCAGTCGCTATATTCAGTTTAAACCGTCCACTTACTCACTCACTAAATCACGTCTGTCGTCCTTCTTGCTCTCCTTCCTTCCTTCCTTCCTTCCTTCCTTCCTTCCTTCCTTCCTTTGTTCATTCATTCATGAGTACGATCGATCATTCAGTTATTCATTCAGTTACATCTCATGCATTCATTTCTGTATAATTTCATTCACATATTTTAATTTGTATCCGATCAGAAATCTGAAAGTGACACGGACTCACACAGTAACAAACGGGGTCCTATAAGAAACATCTAGTCAGGTACTCATTCAGATACAACTGAATCGGTCGAAAGAAGTGGAGATGGACTGGCCACGCCGTGAAGGAACATCCAGGAATTGTTACTAGGCAAGCCTTGAATTGGAATCCCCTGGACAAACAGAAAAGAGGACACCCAAAAGAAAACCTGGTGATAAGATGTTCAGGTTGAGTGTCTCTTGGAGCCACAACTTGACCACACTCGAAAGGTTAGCCCAGGACAGGAAGAGGTGAAGAAGGGAAATCGTTGATGGCCTATGCTCAAGGAGGAGCTAAGAGCATAATTAATTACCTTATCTCCACAGATAAGCACCCAGGCTTTAATAAGCGCCCTCACACGAATAAGCACCCCTCTCCTCCTTTTCTTACTTCCGATTCCGCTATTTTCATATCCTGACGTCCTGCCATGATCACATGGTAATTGGTGATGATGGTCCGGAAAAAGTGCAAAGAAGCTGTAGGGATTGGCATCGAAGTTCCCAAACTGTACTATAGTGCCATTAGATCTGAAACCTTGAGTTGTTTTGTTATTTGCCATTGATTTAGGGAGGATACCAAGGAATACGTATTTCTGCACGAAGGCGTTTTTTGGTGCAGTGTAACGTTAACCAGAGTAGTTGTTCATCAAGACGCCAAAATCTATGTCAGTGTAATTCGGGTGGGGCTGAATCAAAGTGTATCGCTCGCTGCCATCGACCTTTTTCTTCAACTTCAGCAAAGCGTTTTTCTTGTCTTTGAAGAGAACTTCGACGATCTGCTGAACATCTGATCTCAGAGTAAGGCTGTGAGAAAGGAAACTGAATCCGCCCCCTGAAATTCCGGTGGTTCAGTATTCGACATCGGATAAATTTTGTACACACCGCTTGCCGCTCCCGGGATGTAATTTTGAATTTCTAGACAGCTTTTGTAACACTTTTGATAGCGAAAAAATTTGTTAATTAGCAACATTCATTGATTCACGCTACTACGCCTCTCCTGAGAGCAGAAATTTAGCAAGAAATCGGTGACCTACCGACCTCAAAGTTATAAAGTAACGAGTTAGAAAGTAACGAGAGAACCGCACTATTTAGACATCAACCAAAAATTTGTAGCAAACGACAAAGTCTTTATGGTTGCGCGGAAGGAGGGAGGGAGGAGGGAGGAGGGAGGAGGGAGGAGGGAGGAAGAGGAAGGGGTAAAAACAAATAAGAGAGCAAATAAGAGAGCAAAAAAAGGAGGAAAAATTTGTTTCTTATTTCCTTGCCCTTATCTTCCCATTCTTATATTGTGTTATCTTCTTTCGATATCTTTCAGAGACCGAAGATGGCAATTTTATCAATGTAAGAAGATCTAGCTGGATCAATAAATGATGAGGACCGTGCAATAAGAAGGATTCTATCACGTGGTTAACGTTTAAACTGATTAATATGATTACACTAGAAAAAATTTTATCTTTAAAGCTATCGACGCCTAAATCAACTAAGGGAATTTCTGAAAGATTAATCTTATTTTGTTTTAATTTAAGCTTTAGAAAGGCCAGCAGGGCCTTAAACAAATCGATTTTTCAATCCGTCAAGCTGAAGAAATTTATTTGAATAAATTGTTTTCGGATACTCAATCATTTTCAATAAAATATATTATCATGAAAATAATGACTGAATACGCCTCGGCCTACTCATATGTGTGCATAGATACCTTTACCTGCCGGTAGCATTATTCAAGAGGGCTTCAAATTTTAAATCATGGGATTACCACCTAAATAGTTTCATACCCAGATCTTCCGTTTCTAATCATATCCGTTGGGTCAAGGTGGAGGTCGATTGCTTTCTTAGCACCACTAAGCTTAGCTTTGTAGTAAAAATAGAGAGAAGGAGAGAGAGGGAGGGGGGAGAGAGAGAGCCTGTTATCCTCTTTCTATGCATTTGATCTTTCCTCCACATTTTGGAGTTTCCCCATGTCTTACCTGACCAATGTTTTGTGGTTACTCTCAAGTTGAAGCGTTTTAGACCTCGCTTCAAATAACTTTTAACTACACTTTACGATATGTCTCCACGTTAATATATTTTTAAAAATATATTAACATGGAGACGTATCGTGAAGTGTAGTTTGCTCCTCTTTCATCGTGTTTTTAATCTACGCAGGTGAATTTTTATCACTTTTGAATATTTGAGTGCTTTTTTTTTTTTTTTTTCAGGAGGGTCCTTTTGGGCACTCAAATTTGAGCAAGAAAAAAATAAAAGTCCAGAATATATACCTGAAGTGAATGATTATAAAGTTCGCTTCACAGCCTGGGGCATATGTCTTGAATCATATCATTTATTCCGCTTAGCAGTCCAACGTTCTGATTCGAAGAGATCATGCATCTTCACAAGGCTCTGACAGATTTTTTACGCTCTTGTCACATTTTAAACCAAGACATCGCGGAAAAGAGCAATCTATTTCAAAATTGATATAATTTTAAAATGTTAATTACTGTAATAATTTGATCTAGCGCCCGAGCGCTTATTTTCTTTTGGTACCTCAAGGGAGGGCGCTTATCGAGGGCAAGGCGCTTGTTTCTCAAAAGAGAAATAGAATGTGCGAAATAAGGCTCTGATACTCGAAAAGGATCAAGAAGACTGGAAAACGGACTCGTTGTCCATAGATCCTTCCTGATTATAGCGACCAGCCAAGTTAGGATGAGATCATTTGCTCATTGGAATGAAGGTGCTAACTCAATAGGGAAGTTTATAAGAAGAGGGGCGCAGATTCGAGGGAGTGCATACTTTAGGGACGCTTGTTGGGACGAGGGCGCTAAATCAAATCATTACTTATCTTTTTTTCCTTTTCTTAGCTTTACTAAAACCTCAGAGAAAAAAATTGTATTAAAGGTTACAAAGAATATAAGCACCGCTCTCTCTCACCTCGTTGCAACGTCGCACTCTTGAAACAAAACCAACACACAAGTTTTGACAGCGAAACCCCCCGCCATGCTTGAGGAATAGAACGCTGACGTGGCTGAGAAGGGGAATGGATCGAGTTATTTTAGCAACTGATGCAAGTAAGGTGACGTCAGTGAACAGAAAACGTCCGGGGATTCCCCGCCAAATCCGGGGTTTTTATTCGCACTTTCGCTTTCCGAAGTTGTATTTGTTCTCGGATACGTGAGGGAAGATAATCGTACGAAACCCATTTTTCATTCACTCTTGGTTTTGGTTAGAAGTCTTTGAGTTAGAAAGAACCTAAGATCTATTTTGAAGGGCTGTCTACGAGAAACGACGTCACAGAAAAACTCGTGACATCTTGAATTTTCATTTGTAATCGGGTTACATTTCCTTGCATGGTAAATATTCGATCTCTTTGAGTTTCAAAATCATCGAAATTTCATGGCTTAGAAGTTCACCTTCAGAATCTCAGATGGTTTAAGCTGTTGTTCAAACGTTTGGCATCGAAATCCTTCTCAGGATCCATTCCGGTCCATCGAACCTTAGCTGCTACTTCTCTCATTGCCTTAACGAAACACGAATTGAGCGTGCCTTTTAGATAACTGTCATGTCCGCCAGCGTCAGTCCGCTTCCATCGAGTGAGATGAATAGCTCACACTCAAGTGAAGGTAGCAGTGTAAGTGGCTTTGTTGTAGTTTCTAAAGACGACGGACAATTGCTCAATTCCGACGACAGTAAGATTGGAAAAATAGCTGAGATTCCAGGTAAAAGCGAAAGCCTCCCACAAGGCGGAAGTGAGTCGCAGAATGAACATGAACTAGCTGATAGAGTTCAGAATCTTTCCAAGGAAAATGAACAACTTAAGGGGGTGCTGCTTCAGAACAATGAACTCCTCGAGGTAGGGTTCATTTCAAATGTTAATATAAGTTGAAATTATGTGAAACCAGAGAATACCTGAAGAGCTTCACTTTCTGGTCACAACTTAACAAATACCTCTTAGCGCGGAGCTAGTTTGTTTGAAAATAAGGTGATCCTACTTGCTGTATATTAACGATATCTGATGCATTACTGTATTTCATTTAGGTATGACCCACAAATGAGTCTACCTGATACTGATATGAGCCTCTCTGACCATCAACAATATTGATGGTTTGTTTCAAACTCTTGGTCACTGGAGATAAGTGCAAGAGCACAAAAGCAAAGGACAGGGGTTGCAGTGGTCAATAAATCTGTTGTTTCTGCCAACCTCATTTTTAATTTGTTGCCCTATCAGTGAGAGGGTACCTTGTCTGAAATGTCTATTTGTTTTGGTTGTTTGGTTGTTTTATTGGTTCTGTTGATCTTGTTTGTTTCTGATCTGCAGCTTGTTTTCAATTAAAAAGTTATATCATTTTCATAAAAGAGTCAATCACCTTGCACTGCACCCTTACAAATATTTATTTTGTACAGGTTGTCAACAAACAAGGTAGTTTTAACTACTTTAGCTGGTGTTACGAGGCAAAATTTGCTTAGATTGATGAGTTTTAAAGTACTTACCTATTTTACTGCAAAACACTTTCCTATAATTTAATGACAATGATCTCTTCTTGATGCTTTTATAGAAATATTTTGAAGAACTTGCAGACATGCAGAAATCTCAGAAACAGACAAGTGAGTCTTCACGCAAAGGATATGAACGTGCCAAGGATATGATCAAGAACCTGCGAGAAAAGAATGGAAAATTAAAAACTGAACTGAAGAATGAACAAAATAAAACTTTGCAACTGGAGGAAGAGCTGTCCAAACTGAAGGAGGCAGATCAAAATGAAAAGTCTGCACATCTTGAAGAAAGTTATCATATAGACAAGGCTAACCCAGATCAAGCGCAGTCTCTAAACGAAGTGGTGAAGAAGCTTGAATCTGAAAAGGCCACCCTGGAAATGAGTAACAGCAAACTGCAAGAACGTATTTCCTGCCTAAAGGCCATGCGAGAAGCTGAGCCGGTAAGATTTACTTGTTCTGAAACTGTCACCCAAATCTCACCAAGCCCTAGGTTTTCAGCTTCCCACCTTTCTATTTTTTTTAGTTGTCTTTTTTTTTCTTTTGACAGAACACTGAAACAGATGACCTTGAAACTCTGGTTTCTCTTGACACCCTGTCCTCTGACATTCCTCTCGAGAGCCCTGAAGCAGTTTGGGAGAACTTAAGGAAAGTTGAAACAGAAAAAGAAATTTTGAAGGTAAAATTGGAGGAGATGAAAATTGAGAGTGAGCAAAACCAACAACAGTTTAATCAACTTGAGGAAGAACGTGACCAGCTTTTAAAGAAAATTCAAGATATGGAGCAAAGGCAGGTATTAGAAGAAGAAGATATTAAGCTTGAGGTAGCTGAAAACCAAGCTTCCACTGCAGCAGCCACAGAGCAAATTGCTGCTTTGAGTGAACAGCTTAGAGTGCAGACAGAGGTGATGAACAGTCTTACAAAGGAACAGAATGCTTTGAGGCAGGAAAGAGACATGTACAAGAAGAAGGCTGAAGAAATTGAACAAGTAAAGATACTTTTGTTGGTTGGTTGTTTCTGATGACTTAAAATGTGGACACAACTAAGAAAAATGGATAAAATGAAGAGCATTTTATGATCTTACACACAGTAGAAGCAGAAAGAGGGCAGAATCTGTACTAGGAATGGGGGTTTACACCAGAATTAAAAGGAGTAAGGAAACTGAGAGTTAACTTCAATGTCTCTCTCTCACCTATAATCATGTCTTTTCTTAGTATGTTACATCAAAAGAGTTCATTTTAGATGGAAATGAGATTAAGCATGTATGTATGTATATCCTTAATTAAGTTTTCTTGGTTTTGTAGAGAACCACTGAGAATGTTGAAGCTATAGGAGAACAGCAGCAAAACTCTCCTGAAAAAGGCAGTGATAATCAGGAAGAACTGAAAGTAAATGAACTACACATTACACTTGAAAAAGTGAAGAAAAACCTTTGGGAATACCAGAGACGTGAAGGAGATCTTCTGAACAGGGAGAAGGCTGTTCTTGAGAAGGAAGAAGAACAAAAGCAGGTGTGTTTTATATGTCTCATTCTCCCCCGGCCAAGGCCTCTAAAAAAACAGCCAAATCTTCCTCTCAAAAGACCAACTAAATAAGGAGTCTACTTTCACCCCTCAGGAGATTAAATTTCCGGCAAAATTTGTGTTTTCTCCTCTCCCCTTTAGGATTTTCCATTGGTACTCTTACCATACATATTCCATAGATCTGTGAAGATCTTCCTTGCAAATCACTTGAAGGCATCTTTACTTATTTTATTAAATGTCAATAAGAGCCCAAAATGAAATTTTTTTCACTTTCAATGTTGATCATTGGAGCTCTCTCCACAATGCATTTTGATTTATGATTTAAGCACAAATTCAAATTAACAGCAAAACCTATATACATTACGATGTTTAATGATTGATAGTTTATCAGGTCAGTAATCATAGAAATAAGTTTGGCTTTGTCTCCTCTTAATGCAGATTATGAAAGAAAATGAGAATGTTAAACAGCTTGCTGAAGCTCTAACAAATATTGAAGCACTTTCACACAAAAAGAAGGGTCAGGAGATAGAAGTTAACACTCTGAGGAGGCAGCTGAGTTCAGCTACCTCCTCAGAAAATACGATTAAGTATGTACTATGTATATCCTTAATTAAGTTTTCTTGATTTTGTAGAGAACCACTGAGAATGTTGAAACTATAAAAGAACAGAAGCAAAACTCTCCTGAAAAAGGCAGTGATAATCAGGAAGAACTAAAAGGAAATGAACAATACAAAACACTTCAAAAAGTGAAGAAAAACCTTTGGCAATACCAAAGACGTGAAGGAGATCTTCTGAGCAGGGAGAATGCTGTTCTTGAGAAGGAAGAAAAACAAAAGCAGGTGTGTTTTATATGTCTTAGTTTCTCCTGCCCAAGGTCTCTAGAAAACAGCCAAATATTCCTCAAAAAGACTAACCAAGTGAGGAATCTTCTTTCACCACTCAGAAGATTAAATTTCAGGCAAAATTTTGTGTTTTCTCCATTTTAGGATTTTTCATTAGCACTCTGTCCATACATGTTCCATAGAGCTGTGAGGAACAAATTTCCTAGCAGATCAATAGAAGGCATCTTTACTTATTTTATTAATTGTCAAGGAGAGGCCACAATGAAGTCTTTTCACTTTCAATGGAGCCTTTAAGCAATAATAAGCATTGGAGCTCTCTCCACAATATATTTTATGTGCAGTTCAGTCACCTAATTTGTTTTTTTTTTATGATTTAAGCACAAATTCAAATTAATAGCAATACATACATTCATTATGAATTTTAATGATTGATAGTTTATCAGGTCAGTAATCACTGAAATAAGTTTGGCTTTGTCTCCCTTAAATGCAGGTTATGGAAGAGAATGAGAACCTAAAAGATCAGCTTGCTGAAGCTCAAAAAAATATTGAAGCACTTTCCCACAAAGAGAAGGGGCAGGAGGAAGAAGTGAACACTCTGAGGAGGCAGCTGAGTTCAGTATCAGATGAACTCACTGAGACGCATGAACAGGAAGTTTCTCAGTTAAAGGAGTCATTGCAGACAGTTATTGACAGTGCCAAAGAATTGAGAGTAACTGTTGAACAACTTAGGAAGGAGAATGAAAATCTTCAGAAACTTGTTGAGGAACTGAAATTAAGTGCAAGTCAGAAGTGAGCAATACATGTCTTAGTGAAAATTTTTCTTTGTTAGTGTCTGATGATGCTGTTGTCTTTGCAGAAAATAGCTGTTTACTATGGAAGAATTCAAGGGTGTTAAAATTTCGAGAGGAGATATGGAGGGTGACTGAAAGTATCTTAACCCTTTAACTCCCATGAATGACCAAGACAGAATTTCTCCTTACAATATCAATACAATATCAACCAGATAAGTGATGAGAATTAAGAAAAATATCAATTTGGGGATAATAAGTTGGCCCAATACTAAATTCTCTGAGCTGACATTATAAGAATTGTATGGTTGACAGCAAGGGGAATTACAAATTTGATCTGTGAGTTAAAGGGTTAAATGGAAAGGAAGATTTGAAGTGAATCTGGTATTAGCAGGAAATGGGGTTGGGAATGTAAACCAAAAAATAGCTGTATGAGAGGTGTGAATATTTTCTGTAGGAAACTTTTGCTTTTTTAACTCTTGACAATTTGGGAGGGCTGAATTAAATGTTTTGTATATGGAGAAAAAAACTGTTTCTTGTATAAAACATAATGTGGTCTGAAAGAAGATATCTGAAATTAATTTTTTACAGGGAAGAGGAAATACAGACTCTAAAGGAGGAAACAGCCAAAGTGTCCAATGAACTGAATGAGGTTCAGGAGCAGGAAGTTAACCGCTTAAAAGAAGAATTGTCAGACAAGACTGAGGCACTGAAAAATGCAGAGATTAACATAAAATCTATGGAGACTCAAGTGACACAATTAATCAAGGAAAATGAATCTCTAACAGCAGAGAAAGAAAGGCTTAAGGATGAATGCATCCAACAGTAAGATACATATTGTTCTCCATCTTTTTTCTTTAGGTTGGATCAAAGGCGTGAAGACGTCCCACTAGGCTATTAAGGTGTGGGGTGGGGTGGGGTCAAACACAGAAACAATCCAAACTTATGTGGTTTATATGTCCAAACTTATGGGTTTGAAATGCTCCCAACATCTTCACTGAGTGGCGAGTTGCACACACTCCACAATAACAGCTTTAATCATTTTCTTTGTATTCTTGTTTTCTCAAGGGAAAATATGTATCAAGATCATCTCCATAAGATCACTGATGACAGTGAGAAGCAGAGAATGAAGAGAGACCAATTGATCGAAAGTCTCAAAAAGAATATGTCAACCACTGATGCAGAACTTAAGAAAACACGCTCAAAACAGGAAACTGACAGGTACGTGAGTTTTGTTAGGAATAACCATTCTCTGTCTTGTGCGTATTTTTTCTGCTATTTAATGTACGTTTGGTTCAAAAGACATATTTATCAATTAGTTTTACCTCCCAAGAAGAGAATGTGTAGTGATTCTTTAGCCCTTTACTCCCTAGCATCAGTATGCATATTCTCCATACTACTCCCTAGACATTTCTTTGGGTTCTGACAAGGAGAATTTGTTTAACAATCAAGAGCTTCTTCAGTTGGTGATCACCTTCTTTATTCTCATGACATTAATGTTTGATTTAGGGGTGATGTCGTAAGGAGATGTTGTAGTCACTCTCAGGGGTTAAAGGGTTAAAGTGGCAAAGTAAAAACGTGCAAGAAGGCGTTTGCAACAGTAATAGGTAGCTATTAAAATGATTATCAGCGTAGGGAATCGTTTTTTTCTTTATATAATTTTTTCAATCAGGATATCCAGAAATTCAAGGATATCATGCTTCTCTACAGCCTCTCGGTAAACTAGGGCTGAAATAATCATTTTAAAATGATGAAACAGTGTGAAATCATGAGAGTTAATAATTAAGAAAGTTAAAATTTGAACTGTTTATCTTTAAAGGGCGGCCTTCCTACAACTCCAAGAGGATTTAGATCGTACAGTTGGAGACTACAATGAACTTTTACAAGCATACCACACAACGAATGAAACGAAGACGGTTAGTCTTCTATACTTATTAATTAGAATCTCATGATACATTTTCTGTGCTTCGTCAATTCCTAGTTCCACTATTTATGTAACCTAAGAATTCTCCAATGAACTGTAATGGGGCTGGTAAGGGGGGAGCAGGAAGCAGTGGGCGTGCAGCACTTATCCCCCCCCCTCCCCCTGCTGCCGGCGCCATCCTTTTCTTGGAACCGTTACCCATCGATCTTCACAGTTTTCACTCAGACTCCCAGTGTGATGTTAATGTATGTTTATTCACAGTACATTTCACTTGCTATTTTCATTCTTTTTTATCAATTCAACCTTTAAGCGTAACTTCTACGTCGTACTTCTCCCTGCGAGCTTTCATGTGCATCTTCGTAAATTTGTAAAGATTATATGGAGTTTAGACGGTTATATCAGTGAAGAGAACCTTCTGACCCAGTGGCTGATAAGCCTTACCACAGACAGGGCCTGTTTTTTGTGCTGAATGTATTGATATTGTAACTTCCCGCGGGTTCGTAGGCGGACAAGAACCGAACAATTGATAGGATAACTCAAATCTTTCTTTTCATTACCCGTACGCCACCACCGACCTTCGCTCCCCCTGTCTCGCACATCGTCTTCCATATATGGAAGGTCCCATATAAGGCTATGTCACGCATAGTAACAACATTACAATATTCTAGGGAGAAGTTACGTGTTTATCGTTTCTGAGAGGGAGGGGTTCAGAGCAACTATCTGCATCTCTTACCGAAATGTCGAATATCCTGTATTTTTCGTTTTCAGAAACACGAAGCCTACCTCAAGGAAGCTGATGAACACAGAAAGAAGTTGAAAGAAGACGTAAAGATTAGAGATGATGAACTCGATAAAGTACATCAAGCCAAGTATGACCTGGAACAAGAGCTGAAAGCTCTACAGAATGAACAAGAGAAGCGATCGATTCTCGAGCAAACAGTAAGTAAAATTTTCACATTACAGAAAGTAAGCGAAATGCACGAAGCCGTTGCCCTTGGCTGAAACTTCTGACCACAGAATAACGTTCTCTAAACTATTGGTACGAGGTTTTAGCTTTCTTATTTTTGAGAAAAAGACCAGAAGCGCCTCGGAAAAGATCTATTAAACTTTGTTCTTCCTTTTGTTTGTTCTTTCTTTCGTCGATTCTTTTTTTTAATATCTATTTTCTTAGTTCATCTTTGTAATATTTTACTTTCAACACTTAGTTGAAACAGTACGAGGATGATTTTCGAATTGAACGCGAAGCCAGAGAGAAGCAACACGGGGAGATGTTGAGCCTGACTGAACAAGTCCAGCGGCTTCGGCAGGAAAACCAGCGATATCAGGATGAGATCTATCAGTTAAGCAACAGAGGATTCGAGGAAATGCAACGCCGCCATGCCAGTGTTCCTTATCATACCACAGACTACCCACCCCATCAACAAGGATCTCCCGGAGAATGGTGCGCTGGATTTCCTGGAATGCCTTTTTTCACCCGTGGATCCGAACAACCTGCAGAAACCAGGAGAGAGGGGGACATGCGGAGTCCTGGAAGGGAACAACAAGTCCCTGCTCCACCGGTGGATGAAAATGATTGGCAATGTCCAAAATGTCGCGGGGTGTTCCCTAATTTTGATGCACTTCAGATTCATGCTGTGGCATGCCAAGGATTCCAGCGACCACCTTCCGTAGGCGATCTTCAGCAAAATCAGTGTCCAAGCTGCATGGAGTTATTTCCTGATATAGAAACCCTGGAACTTCATGTAGAGGAATGTCTGGATCAACATCAATAGTGAAATTATCCTGACCTCAACGCATTTGACCGAACTGGAGGATGTATTGGCAAGAGGAGTGGACAGTCAGGGTGAACTGAACGTTATAAAATTCTTAACCACTGAGCAGTGAAACAGTTTATTCCTAAGCTTTTTATATGAACATTTTTAGCACGAAGCAGCATTCTGTATCGATAATTTGACGCTTAAAATGAGTTTTAAATGCAAGCAGAAGTCATACAGGACACTGAGCTGTTCTGTTGGCCGTTTCACTTTACTTTAATGAAAACCACGTCAGAAAAAGTCTTGAAAACTGCTTTAATAGGATTACAGCTTCGATGCTATTTACCGCGCTATTTGTTGAAAGCGAGCAGATCAACATAGGGGACAGGTAAGTTTAACCGCAGGGGACAGTATGATAACCAAGTATTAATTGACCTTAAAATTTAGCTGACCAGTGAAGGTGTGACAAACTTGGCTTTTTGTGAGATACAGATATGACGTATTATGTTACTCATATATAACTTTCATTTTGGTAACGCAATATCCAATTCAGCGGATTTAGACCACAACTTCGACGTGCTCTTGCGTTACTCTTGTTGTTCTGTAAAACTAAAATCTCCTAGACAGTCTGAGACCGTATTTATCTGATATTACAACTGTAGTTCAAGAATAGATTAGGTAATTTACACACAGTTTGTATTGGAAACATACTATGTCTCGCATTAAGAACTAAATGTAATTAACGGATGACGATTCACGACAGTGATCTAAAACAATAGTTGAGTTGATATGTTCTAGAAACACATCAAAAGCTCTCTAAAGTAATTCCAGTTGTTTTTCAAGTGAAGTACAGAGGGATAAAGGTTAATGTTAATTTGAAGGATGTTTAATACCACTTCCTTTAAGACTTTGTAAACAATTTATTTTAGTAAAAATTTACTTTTATGTTTTATCATAGCATAGTAAGTAGACTACGTTGACTCTGCGTGTGTAGTTATTTTTTTCATACATATGAAATAATGTTTAAAAATTTGGTTTTCCTTAAAGGCAGGGGCCCATTTCTATGGGCTCCTGTTAAAGGTAATTAATTTGGTAAAAGTGTAAAAAATTTTTTCTTCTTCAACTGAAAATAAAATCTAAAGGAATTAAGATACGGTTCAAAAACTGCTCTTAACAAAGCATAGATTATCAGATAATTTAACAAGTCTTTTACTGGGTTTAAGACTCCATAGTCGAGAATTCGGATTGTCGACAGCTGCATTTGCTTAGAAGAATAGCGGTGAAAATGTAGCATCATTTGATAAATACTAGCATATATTTCAGTCTTGATATTCATCATAGTTACAAGTTTTCGTTCCTGTAGATTAAAGCACAGAAACAAGAAGTGTCCAGTGTTTTGGATTGGGTTTCCAGCCTTGTCCCCAACTCCTCCTTATCTGACTCCCGCCACTTTGAGCCACAGGCTTAGTGACGACAAGTTGTCATCATTCCAGCACACGCCTTGCTACGTCAGACAATAATGAAAGACAGTGACTAGAATTTTCCGGTATGTGGATTAGGGTCAGAGCGGTGGCACGCACTTTCAAAGATTAGAACGGAGGCTTCCAAATGTGTTTTGCCTTATTTCTGGTTTAGTGGATGACGTTAGGATATATACAGACAAGGCATGCCTCGCGAAAAGGTACGTACGTGAGTTTTCAGTTCCCTTTTTCTGAGGCCTCCTGTTCTGTCAAAAGAGACAGTTTACACTTACACAAGGTTACCGTAATTTACGGTGCTTATTCGGAAATTTCGAGTGAATATCGCTTTTATTTTATGACGTTAAAAGCCACCTAATTTACATATAGCCTACGCACCACTGCTTCTTCGTACTTTACGTCAACATTCGGCGCTTTTAGGGTACGAAAGAAGTTTAGTAATCGTGTTTTTCCTCTGCACAATCGAAGTCTTGGAGTGACCAGCACTTATCCGCTCGGGTTTCAGTGAATGACTTGTTTATAACGGCTTTGTTCGTATCGCATAAAGCTTACAAAATACTCAACTTTTAAATGGGATGAAAAAAGACAAAAATTTGTGAGATGCATGGGCCGCTACTTGTTATTTATTTGAAACTGAATATTTATTATAAAAGAAAAAATAATGTTCATAGTTTTCTGAATAGATGGATATTTTTAATATCTTATCAATTAAGATTAATACGGCCGGAAATCCAACAAAGGAACAGTTGAGGCTCAAAAGCTTAGAGCTTAGCCCGCTTGCTTTTGTAAAATTAAAGCCGAGTTTCCTTTTCTTATTTACGCGAATCCATACAAAAAAGTGAAGATAGATATTCAGCACCAATTGATAACACGCTAGTATAAAGAGGGCGAAGCGGCCATGGAAAATACCCTAACTAATTTCGTAATTAGCAGAGGTTTCTATTTCACCCTCCCCTCCCTAGTTTGTCGAGTGACCCATCATTCCGTACGAGCTTCGGCGTTGATGTCACGTCCGTTAATGTTTTGAGAGAGAAGGAAAATATTAAGAGTTTGTAGAGAGATTAACGGGAATCGTAATTCGGCTGTTGGCCGCTTTATTATCGAACTTTTGACCTCGAGAAAACATTCAGGATACTACCCGTAGTGTTGAAATTTGCGATCCGGTGAAGACATGGCGGAAGGGTCGCAGGACGGACTCAACCTACACATGCCGAAAAAGGTTAGTGGCGCCGATGATACAAGTTTCACGTCGATATGTGTCATGCGATACTTCGACTCTGTTATCGCCAAGTTTTCTTGGAAATGATGGGAATTATTGGTCAAGTCAAAGGACACGGCAGTTTATACAACTGATCCTACACAGCAATCACGGCTGCAGAAAACAGAGTGTTCCGCTGTCGATGTAGTTCGTTGGACTCGATAGGAGCCATTTATGTTGATTGTATTCATTCTACAACCAACTCATTCGTTTTTGAATAATTTTTGCGGATTGACAGTTCACCAGATTTCAGCTCTCTGCTTTTGATAAACTTAAATAAAAGTTTGTCTATTTTTTTGCCTTTTAATTGATGCTTTTAGGATACTGTTTCTTGCAGCTCGAGGTAGTTTGTTATGGTTCCAAGCTTCGTTTATTTACTGTTTAAATTTTATTTCAAATCGGGTAGATTATGCTATCTCCCCTTTGACACTAAATATTTATCTTTCCAAACGATCTCTTTGGTTACTAGAACGTTAATTAGATTGTTTTTCCTTTATTTCTCTTCTGATAAGTTCTATAACTCCAAAGGGGGTTATGTTTTGCGTTCCTTTTTGGGCTTACAAACATTCTCGTTCAAACAGATATCTCCCCTTGAGTCAGGGCAATAATTGCCGCATATTGTAACGGTAGATTGGGAGGTTTTATACAAGAATATTTAGTTTAAGTTGTGTTATGGTTTCATGTTGATTGAAAAAAGAAACTAGAATATTTTTGACTTGAATGTAGCACATTGGAAATGCAAGTTACCACAATGGAAAATCAAGTTTTTCAGTTCTCTGTTTATAATTTTCATTCAATGAAAACCAGTTTAACAAAACATGTTTTGCTGGTGTGAATGGGGTATTAGATGCTATGTACAACTGTAAACAGCACAGCTGTGTAAATTTCCTTAATCGAAACTTCTGAGATCCACATCAGTACATGATGAGTTGATTGAAAAAAGTTGATCCCAGGTTATATGCTATAAGAAGATGTTCAAATTAGAGGAAAGAAACTGCCTCATGATTCTTTCGGTTAATTTTTGCAAAGGGTATGTTCATCATGTGATTAACTGAGGTAAGGTCCACAAAATGCTCATAATAACGTGACCAATTTAATGAGACATTGCGAGTTGTTTTGATTATTCTGGGCATTTTCATATCTTTATCATTTTATTTCATTTTGCTTACAGCCTTTTTTAATTTCATTTTGCTTACAGCCTTTTTATCACATCAGAACTGTGTATGTGAGTTAACGATGAAAATATTGGTTTGACTAAACTAAATCAATATAAGACACTTGAACAGACAATATGATCTTAATAATTGTTTGGGTGGGCCTCATTTCTAACATTATTCTTATATTTTCAAAATTTCATAAGATTAAATTAAAACTGAAAATCTTATCACCAAAATCAAATTCATCACCATTGGAGAAATGTTGAAGAAAATTTTGCTTCTTTTGTATGAAATATTTTCTTTCAAGAACAAATGAACAATCAACAAGCAAGAAATATTTTTCTCATTTTAAAAAACACAATCCTCACAAAATCGTTTCATACCATAATATGATGCTGTAGCTATCCAAGGTAATCAGTGCTGAACAACAAAGTCAATGAGAAAGACCAGTCAAAATGTCATTCAAAACAATTTTTTGTTCATGTTTTGATTGTAAGTTTCTTCCCAAAAAAACCTTACATTAATAATTTCTGGTGGTAATAGAAATACTTTGTTTCCTGTGCTTGAATTCTCATAAAATAGTATGACTTTTAGACTGTTATGATAATGACATTCAAATCTGATTTGCATCAATAAAATTAGATCATGTGTTTTGATAGTACTTCCTTATTGTAATTAAACAATTGCTACTTGAAACTGGAACCTTGAGTCTGATAAGCTTTGAGAATAGACAAGAGACTTTGGGTATCAAATTTCAAGTCTAGAGCTTCTAATATTGATTGTACATTTAAAGGATTTGAAGCAACCAAACAGTTAAACAGTTTGATCAAGTAATCTGATCTTCAGAATGAAGATGTCACCAACTATTGTTGGTGACAGGGCATGGTACTTGAAAATCAAAGAGGAAGCCTTCTTGAGTCAGCTCAATAAAAGAGGATGATGATTCAAATCCTAATTTTCATAACTCATAAGAGTTATTTTTAAATTTTAATAGAAAGCATATGGAATTTATCCAATGGAGTTGGATCATGGCAATTTGAAAATTGTTTCAACCATCTGATGACTTTGTGTAGATATTGCAGGATATTATATGTTGATAATTATTTCCCTGAGGAAGTTTGTTTTGAAAAGGCAAATACCTGTTTCTTAAAGTCTCATTGACATGCATTGTCTTCTTTTGTAGTTTACTTTAGGCCATGAAATGAATGCAGGGGCCCCCTGCCTACAGTGTGGCCCTGTCAAATGTGAAGGGGGATTGGACCTGCATTTCTGGAGGTTAGTTATTACCAATTAAAAATGCTCTTCATCGTGAGACAATTTCTCTTTGTCAGCATCTCAGGAAATGTTAGGAGAACAGTATGGAGAATATACATACTGATGTTTGGGTGTAAGGGGACTAGTATACCTTGCAAAAGGCCTGGTAATGAGTGTGGATTCATACACGTAGCTACTGCATTTCACTTTGGTTCAAGTGCACTTTTACATAACTTGAATACAGATAGCAAAGTACAAATAGAGGTTTTATTTAAAGTTTGATAAATATGCCAACATTGTGCTTGATGCTCTGATGAAAGCATTATTCCCAAAATTATGCTGGCATAATTTATCTGACACCAATTATTACTGAAGAAATGTAAAATGGTTTCCATGTTTATAATCAGAGCATGCATACTATTTGAATTATTTTATAATTTTATTTGTCAATCAACAGAAAAATCTGCAAGACGTGCAAATGTAAGCCAGAGGAACATGATATCAAGAGTGTGGAAGAGGCTGCACACAAACTGGTTGTACACAGCTTATTTTCTAAAGACTCCCCCCAGGGACACATCCGTGACTACTTCCGTAAACTGGAGGAAGCCAACAAGAATAAGGGGCAGCAGTCAGAGTATGCTAAACAGTATGCATGGGTTCCACCGGGTCTGCAGCAGGGTGTGGTGAGTGTCACAGTAGAGCTCAGTTCACCACAATTTATTTGCAAAAGGGAGCAGAACTATTTAAAATTGTTTGAACCTGTTGCTCTCAGGAGTGATATGAAGGATATCTCTGCATTATATCACATTAGTATACAGCACATTTTCAAAATGAAAGGTGATGAGAGGAAATTTGAATGTCAGCTACACAAATATGTGAATGGGATAATAATTCAGTTTTTACTCACCTTGACAAAATATCATTTTAACCTTTTCAATCCCAAGATCTTTTTAGTAATTCTCCTTACTGTCTGCCATACAATTCTGATAATGTCAGTTTGGA